TTAGTGTAGAAGTTCAGCGATTGGTAGCTTATCTATTATTAGAAAAAACAATCAAATTTTCATTTAAGCAATCACAAGATAGACAACATAATGATCAGCTCATCATAGATCAAACAGAATCATGGGATATACCTCAAAAAATTATTGCTTTAGAGCCATGTGAAGCTTCGAAATTTCAGTATATTATTGAATGGGTTATCTATAAATTAGTTAAAAGTGATCTTCTAACCATGGCGCATGAGGACTTTATTAAAATAAGATTATGTTTGATGCTTTAAGTACTGAAAATATGGAGTATAAAAGTAATGTTCGCTTCAAAAAAACAACGATTGTTTCAGGAATTGAATTTGTTCAATTTATATATTATTTAGAATCACTTGTTTTTCAGTTGTTCGACAAGCACATTGAATACAGACCTGACATTTTAATCTACATTAATAACTGTGTGATGAACAACCAGCCTTTAAAAGAACAGTTTCATACTCTTTTACAGAAATCATATGAACTTCAATGTTATACAAATGATGAAAATCATCTATCGGGTAATACTGAAAAATTTTTACTGATGTGATTGATTAAGATATATATGCGAAGCAGACAACAGTCATGGCAACAATTTAAGGAATAAATTCCTGAAAAAGGATCTTCAAGTTTACGAGAAAATGTTAAAGCAATGAATGCAAACTTGAAAAATTTCACGAAAAAAAATAATTATAAAACAAAGTCTTTTATATTCAAGAAAGATATGTTACCAGAAGATTCTAGTCTCGCACTTGCTCAACTCAAGATCTGGGCTCACGGTGACGGAGCTAAAAATGTATTTGAAAAGGCATTTACTTTATCAGAACTTAAAACTCTTGTTCAAGCATTTCAAACCAAACCATCAGAGTTAAAAGAAAAAAAAATTGGAATACGTGGATTTGCTATTTAGTAATTTGCAAAGTGGCATGGAATTCAATGAAGAAACGAAAAAAAGATGTCAAATTTTTGCTTAGGAACAAAGTTAGACTAACTTTGTAATTAATATTGATTTATTATCCAAAAAATTACCATATTGTAATTTATTTTATTAATTATGTGCTAATTATTTGTGTCAACCATTTATAGCATTAATAATATAAAAACGAAACTCCAATTATATCGAAAGTATGCTAGATAAATTTCTTTCCTTATGTATAGTTATGAATTTTTTTTTTTTTTTTTTTTTTAATATTAAAGGTGAGACCATGCTCTTATCTTTATTAAACTTAATGAAAACTTTT